CTTTTACAATATCAATGCTTTTCACGCTGCTGCCTGCCACGCTAACACATCTAGCAGAAAAGGCAATGTTCCACAGATAATCTACGCTGTATATCCTCTACCCTTTGAGCCACTTGTGCTCCATCAAACAAGGATCTGGGAGCATTAATCGTCAAGGCACAGAGCCTACTGCTCTTACAGGGTGTGCTTCCTGCAGCTCAGATATCACAAATCTGAAGATTACCAAAACCAGTACTAGAACATTCAGGGTTTCCCTTGTTTAAATGTCTATTTTCAGCAAACAACCTCCAGCATTGCAGATAAACCCATTTAAGAAAATAATTGGCAGTGTTTCAGGACACTTCCACGACTTCATGCAACAGCTTGTGATTTTACAACTAAGCTAAAGAATATGTTCTCTGCTGGCTTGCAAGGGCTGCAATTACTGTAACAGAACTAATGAGCCTTGCACTTGGAAAACTAAGGGCATTAATCATTTAACTTTTAGAATATATCTATCCCCACCACTAAACATACATATATGATTAGCATTTCCAAACAGCTCTACAGAGAGTATTTCAGCTTTCTGAAGAGAAAATGCCAAACTGCTCTCTCAGGCCTACTTAATTCAAGTACTAATGTGAGTAGGAAGGAAATGCAAACTTTCACACCCATTCCTTCAACTCAGAGAATATTCATTTCGGATGCAATTGTTAGATGAACTACTGATACTTTTAAACCCTTTTCCTTTGCAGCAGCCAGCCAACACAAATTTCTTACACATTCTCCAGTGCATACTTACCCTTAGTTCAACTTCTTTGCCAAGTAAGTCGTACAGACTTGCTCCTTTGGAGGTGATTTCGGAAGCAAGCTGCCTGACTGCCTTCAAGTCAGCAATCTGGAAACACAGCAACAGCACTGATTAGCAAAAGAGAATCCCCAACATCACACACACACAAAAAAAAAAAAATCCACAACAGGTTTTTTCCTGTTCTCATGTTAAAATTGCACAGGAGGTCAGCACAGTGGCCAAAACTCTACTACAGTATTGAAGAAGCTGTCCACTGGAATCGGAGTGAGCCTGTCTCTTGGCTTTAAAATGGCCCAGATGAGGCACCATGTAGACACAGGCTTCTGGGTGAAACCCCAGCCACCTTAGGCCAACAAAAACACCTCCATAAAACTGTGACTTGGCCAGCTGTTGGTTCATGTGCTGCCCACGGCAAAGGGAAACATCATCTTCTTCCTACGGAAAAGTAAAAAGTATATATACCAAAAGGAAGGTGACTAGTGCATTGCATGGGTAATGAGTATTGATCATCCACAAGGGTTTTTTCTTGATTTTTTCAGGTGCTTTCTGCAGGGGCACACCAGACTTACACCTCCTGGGGTTCTGTCATTTTTGTATCACTGCCTAACAAGCAGGCATGACATGGCGTAGCTGTAAGAGAATCAAAGACTAAGAACATCAGAACATAGAAGAGGTGCTAAAACCAACAAAAAACAGTAACAGGAATTCCTCTTATTTAACAAAGTGTTAGAGTTTTTTTAATATCTAGAGATAAAATTTACTTCAAGTGCTTGAACAGCTTTGATGTCTGTCAGGGTAACACAAAGATTTCCCTTTCCTTCAACGCAAAGAGGCTCAAAAACAACTTTCAGGCAGTATCTTGTTAGGGTTTTTTTAATATCTAGAGATAAAATTTACTTCAAGTGCTTGAACAGCTTTGATGTCTGTCAGATTTCCCTTTCCTTCAATGCAAAGAGGCTCAAAAACAACTTTCAGGTAGTATCTTGCAAACTCCCCCTGTTGCAACAAGGTTAGTAGATACAAAATAGTCTTTATTCTGGTCTATTCCACTATGTCTATGATTTCAGCAGCAGCCTAAAACAAAGATAACCAAGTTTGGGCCACTGTCGCCTTGTATTATGCTTCTGGTTGAGAACTCAGAGAGATCAAAACACGATAGCATATAACCTCAACTACAGAAAGTATGAGTTAAAACCATACCTGCTCCCTTGTTCATTCTCTACTGAAGTTTCAGACAGAAAATCAATTTGTTTTCCATAAGTCAACACAAAACCCCTCCCCAAACCAAGAGCATAAGTTTTCCTTACTTTTGAGCCAAGATCAAACTTGAACTTGCTGCTGTCTTCCTCACTCACGTCTGCACGTTCCACGCCCTTGGTATTCATAGCACCATAAAGCACAGAGGTGATCTTTAGCAGTTCCTTCACTGCATAGCCATCTGCCTGGTAAAGCTTCTTAGTGTTGAGCTTTATGTGGGCTTTGGTAGCCTTGGGGAAGAAAGAATGAATTTATTGTGTCACAAAGAACGAAATCCTCATTTACATCTTCACACTTCACTCAAAAGCTCACTTTGGAGGCCATCATGCTCTGCTTTACCGAAATAAATCTTCCTGTTTGGAAACACAAGTTTGCCTCATCACATTACTGATGTTTCTAGAATAAATTTTTCTGAAACGTGCACTTTCCGCATGTCAGAACATTTGCAGACAATTACCAGAAGAAAAAACTCAAACTATCCATTAATTCTTCCCTGCATGAAGATCAGCAAAAACCCTGTGCACCACTTAAATTCAAATTAAGTTTAAGTGGAATGTAAGTGCTGCCCAGGTCTTGTGATGCTGCTGCGGAGAGGTAAATTTCACCCTTAATGAGTTACAAGAGTAAGATCAATTATCCTAATTTAACTGTCTTCTCTTCCAGCAGTACCTTCAGAATATTTTATTGTTTCTCTCAAATTTTTCCCTGCTATGGTATTAGCAATTTTATTCCCTTGTCTTCCATCTCTGAAAAGTCCAGACAGACCAGTAAGGAAAAAACCATTAAAAATCGTATTATCTTTTTATATTTCCAAATAATAAAGGTGAAAAAAAGAGCATAACAGAAATGATACATCTGTCACAGAAAGGACACCAGTGTTGTTCTTGAAATTCCTGACAAGGTTATATTCTAAACAAACGTCTGCAAGGAGCCAACACTAAACTTCAGGCAAAACCTTGAGGCAGTCCTCCTGGTGGCATGACTAAACAAGCAGGCAAACAAAAACTGATCACTGCTTATGGAAACAGAAACTAAGCATGTGAACGACTTAACATCTTCCTTTCGGTATATTTTTAAGATGAAACTTCTGCTAAAATGTTTATCCTTTGAGAATACCGTGCGGCAGAAAGAATCTATTGGGGTGTTACACAACTTTGGTATTACAGTGTCACCGTAAGCAATTCATGCCCCCCGAGGGCTCTGACAGTGCAAGACCGTCAACCTGGGATAAAAGACTCCAACATTAAAACAGTGGGTACAAGTTTTGCCCACGCTGCACTGAATAATTGACTGCACAAAATTTCCTGTGAAACTAAAGACAGAAAGGCTGTCCTGAGAAGCCCCCTACCCCTGAAGCCCCAGGTTGTGTGATCTGATCTAGGTGTCCTGCTCCGGCAGGGGGATTGGACTAGATGATCTTTCGAGGTCCCTTCCAATCTCTAACATTCTGTGATTCTGTGATTCTGTATCTCAAAGTATGGATTTAGCTCCAGCTTCTCAAAGAACAAAGGAAACAAAGCAAATAGTTGCTGGCCCATGTTTCTTTGTATGCATCTTGTCAAACTTGGTGACTTCACAATCAAGATTTCCATTCCCAAGAAGTGTTCACCTCTTGCCTCTCTCATCCCAAAGTCTCAACCCAGCAGAGCAAACTGCTGGCGAGAACTCACCGAAGTGTGAAAAGTGAACTCAAAACTCCCACAAGAGGTTCCTGATGTTGTACACCCTGAGCCAGCGGAATGAGACTTACGGTACAAAAAACCCTAATTGCTTTTGAAAATTCTGACCAGCATGACCTCAAATGAACCAATACAAGAAGCAGAAAGCCAGATGTGTTCTCCTTCCTTCCTTTTCAGTAGAAGGAATCTAAAAAACTAATCGTAGAAACAGTAGGTATTAAATTTTAAGAGAAGTAGGTCATTAAATTGACAGAATCTGTTAAACATCCCCTACACAAAGAAGACTGATGCACCACATCATAAAGGTTGTTGTTAAAGACAGGAATTCCAATTTCAGTTCCATTAAACCCCAAGAATGAAAAATCAATGTCTAGTAAAAGGACAAAAAAAAAAAGTTTATTCACTGAAAGAGTACTTAAAAAGATGAAAAAATACACGGACAAGTCCATATATTTTTCAGACAGGCATAACAGCAGCACTTACCCAAGAAGGTAACTTCATGTTTGGAAAGCTTGAGACAGTCACCTAATTTATAACAACTCTAAATGAAGTATCATTAAAAATCACCTCCCTCTATTCTGAAGATCAGATTATTACAGTGCAATTGAAAAGGGAAATAGGCATTAGCAGCTGGAAAGTTTGCTTTACTTTAAAATCTGCTTTATTATTAACATAGAGCCAAATTTTGACAGTGTGATGGAGACGCAAAGACAGCCCAGAACTCCCAGCGGAGTGCTCCAGCCATTCAGTTGCAGAGTCGTGGTCTTTAGCCTGTCTAACCTGAACGTTTTGCATTCTTTCCTGTACAACAGCACATTCTCAAGAGGAAGAATGAGGATTGCTCTCATCTCCCTGTCTTGTTTTATACTTCGGCTTGTCTCCTGGGTACTGAAGCAGTGGCTCTAAATCTCCCCGGGCTGAAATGGGAATTGAGCACATGAAATGGGAATTGAGCACGTGATACTTCTTGGAAAGCACTCAGCAAGATTATTAGCTTCACTTTCTCCCAGCCCAAGATGGGTGCAACCCTACGAGTAAGAAGTCAAGCAAAGCAGGCAGGAGAGTCGCATGGATGAGCAAGGAGCTCATGGCAAGACTCCAAAAGAAGAAGGAAGTATATAGAATGTGGAAAAGGGGACACGCCACTTGGGGAGAACACAGGAATGTTGTCAGAGTATGTAGGGATGTGACGAGGAAGCCTAGAGCCCATTTGGAATTAAATCTGGCAAGAGATGTCAAGGACAACAAGAAAGGCTTCTTCAAATACATCAGTAGCAAAAAGAGGACCAGAGAAAACACGGGTGCACTGCTGAATAGGGTGGGTGCCCTGGTGAGGAGGGATACAGAGAAGGCAGAGTCACTGAACGCACAGAGTTACTGGATATGATCCTGTGCAACGTGCTCTAGACAACCCTGCTTGAGCAGGGGGGTTGGACTGGACAATCTCCAGAGGTCCCTTCCAACCTCAACTGTTCTGTGATTCTGTGCTTTGCAGACATCACATCAGCAGCTTCTCCCATCACTTAAAAAAAAAAGAAAGTGTCTGCCTTTTGCAAAAAGTCTGGGACCTTGGTTTGCTAAGTATGTTTTCATGAATGCACTTCTATGAAACTAAACTCAGAGGCTTTTTGCTGCACTCCACTTCAAATTTACATCCAAGTGGGCTAAAGTAGGAGCCAGGTATTGAGCCACACAGATTAGGGCAGTTCTAGGTGGACAAATTATTTAAGAAAAAAAAAATCACATAAGAAAACCCTGCAGATACATCAGGAATTTCTGGGTCCAAAAAGGAGGCATTTGGCAGGTTCTCAAACTACCAGAAACACAGAGCAATACATCCCTTCTGTAAAAAATTAACATATCTTCAGTCTTTTTTTCAGTAAAGGAGAGCAATATCCTAGTTGCATTTCACGATGATTAATCCATTCTGATATTCTCTTCTAAGATAAATCTGTCTCCATCAAATCTCACGTCTGGCTACAGATGCATAAAGCTGTTAGCTACTAGAGAAAATAATTCACTGTCCATGGAATCCAGAGTTATCAAGGAAATGTCTACAAGCTTTTCTCATTCTGAAAATGCAGAAAAACTACAATAATCCCCGTATTATCTTGTAATATTAACTGAGACTATGTACAGGATGATTAAAGAAACTTCCATTCATTTCATTTTCTGAATTGTATTATGTAATTCTTCAAAACCCTTGGGATTTCTTACATGGAATCAGCTATTAAAAGGAAAATGTACATGTAACATTATTTCTCCTTTCATACTTGTCCTTTTCAAACATGCTTGATTTGGAGGGGGGGAATCCCTCCAAACAAAACAGATCTGTTCACTACCTCTTACAATGCTCCAGGGCTCAAAAGTGCATTCTGGTATGTATGGAAGTATAACATGCTCTGAACACAGTAAAATTAAGAATTAAGAAAATTTATAGTGGACATCATCACAAATCAGAAGTGAAAAGCTGGCTGGGTTAGAATGTCATTTAAATATATTTTTAAAATTCATTAAAATATTATAATAAATTAATCTTTGGCAATAACAAAGACAACCATCACTTCCAGACCCCCCTGCAGCCCCAGTAAGTTTTTTTCCACCTGATTAAGAGCGCTAAGTAAGTGTGTCACAACAGCAAAGGCTCATGCTGCTTCAAAATAGCTGCTGCGATGTGAAGGACAACGTTATTTTATTCCATGAGACTAAAAAAGTTGATGGTCCAATTCAAGCATGCTCATGCATGAGCTGGTGAAAGATTTGATCTGAGAAAAATATGTCTCAATCGATAAAGTGAGGAGGCTCATACAACAGGATGCCAATATATGATTCCACACCATAATGGCAATATCAGAAGTTACAACTACTCAAGCATGCAAAAGAATCAGGCATCCCAAATTAGCAATAAATACCATGGGATCTCTTCTGAACCCATTTAAAGGGCTTCAAAAAAATTCACATCTGCAGCTATGTCTTCCACTATTACCTTTATGAAAATACAAAGTGATAAAGATGAGTATTGTTCTAGTGTTAAATGTTTAGATCCCAATTCTGCAAGGACACAACTCTGCCCGATTTCAGCAACAGCATGCCCTGGCCTCTTCAAGTTTAGAAGAGCACACGGCATAGAATACAGCACAAGAATACAACATGTACTCAGCCAGCTGTTGCAAGGAAATGGTAAGGGGTGAGGAAAAGAAGCACTAAAGCTCATCAGGAGCCAGTATTTCAATGTGCTTAAGCACGACTCCTTAAGCAGACCTACCATGAACTGAGCGACAGCCTTAATGAAGAAAACGCGGTCCTGCTCTGTCGCCACATCAGAAGGAATATCAGTCTGAGGCTCATACCTGTGGAAAGAAGCATGCGTAAGTTCTGACAAGAAATATATGTGCAGTTTTTAAAAGACTGTTTCATTTGTGAGGCAAAAAAAAAAAAAAAAAAAATCCAAACAAAATAACCTCTATGAGACTGGAAAATAAATCTTTTGCTCCTGCTGCGGACTGGGATATCTAGCCACCCCAGAAGGCATACAACAGGTTTGCGTACAAACTGCAAAAGCTGCAAAACCTGAGACACTTCTCCAGAAGGAATTGTTACTGTGGGGTCCTGAGTACATCTCTTCACTCTGTTTTGCAAAGGAACAAAATTTAGCTGGCTCAACCAAGTCAGTGAAATACTTGTTTTCAAAAATAAATAAAAATTTTCAGAAATTTTGCTACTTAAATCACAAGCTGCTGATATAAATCAAACTAAACTTCATCATGTGCTGCTTCAGAGTTTAAAACAGGTGTATGACTAAGTTCATCTTCCCAGTCTTCCCAGCGGTCAGTTAAATCGACTTGGTACCAGCTTACTATTGTTGTACTAAAACCAGCCGCCTTGTCCTTTAAAATGTTACGACACTTTTCTGCTCTCTCAAAACACACCAAGAAAAGTTCACACTCACAGACACCATTTCAAACACACTTTTAAAAGTCAATGAAACTTACAAAAAAGCAAATTGAAAGATTGTGAAATGCTTTTTAAAAAAACCCAAACCACTAGTGAAATGCAGAAACCTCTACAAGTCACCAGCCTACAGGAAGCAGGGAAGGAAAAAAGTGAATTCCCAGAATCTTATACAAGGCTTCAACATTTTCAGCATTCAGACAGGCAGAAAAGCATCTTTGCTTTCAAATCACATTTGAAATTAAGAGCAAGGCACTGTTAGGCAGAGGGTTCCCAACAATGTTGTAACACAGAAGTTTTAAAAGTGTTCAGTTTCATTAGAGAAACATATTTTTAAAAACACAATTTTTATTTTCTTTCAGTTGCTCTGCTATGTTACTGTTACATACTGGGGGGGAAACTGATTTATGTTTTTACACCTGAGTTGAAAACAACCAGTAATTTAGAACCTTAGTGTAACAGCAGCGTTTTAAAGAATATTTAGGTAACAATCTAAGTCATTTTGAACAGCTGTAAGTATTTCTCTATTTTGTTAGAACCGCAACAGTATTCAGCAAATACATAACAGCTGGGTAATTACACTTAATGGATACTAATTAAGAACCCAGGCCAAAAAATAGCAATCAGGCAAAGAGGTCACTGTTAATATTTTCAGCTGTAATATTCTACCTTATGAGTAGCTGAAAAACTTAGTTTATTTTTTCATGTACATGAGAGAAAGCAGATTATTTATAATTTGATTAGCACATCAAGTACAAATATTTAACCAAAGTCTGTCAATGGGTTAAGTGGGTGTAAAACAATCACAAGACAGCAGTACATCAGTCCTGTATAATTCTATTTGTTTAAACATGGAACAAGCGCTAGAACCAGTCTGAACCATCAGCAACTGTAACAACAAGGTGAGAACTAACTGTGTCTTGAGAAGCTCTCACTGTACATCACCCTGTTTGGGACACAAGGTCAGATACAGGCAGAATGGTGACGGAGTTTGTAGAACATGTGAAAGAGATGCAGCCGCCCTCGAGGAAGCGCATCCCCTTTGGGACGCAATCTCTGCCAGGACCGAGTCACTGTGCTTTCTACTTCAGCTATGAAAACACATTTTTTACATTCTATAATCAAAGTAAAAACCTGCAAGCTTAACTACCCCACCTTCTATCTAATATTCAGAACAACAGATCTCAAAGAATGACTAAATATCATCATATTCCTCTTAAAACCTCTTAATACAGCTTCACACCCACCGTCAGCTCCAGACACACACATCCCACCCCAGCTCCAGCCCCATCACCCACCTTTTCACCAGCCAGAGGAGCACTTCAGAGACAAGCATGAAGTTTGGGGTATGGAAATTCTCCATGGATATGAGGCGGGGATACCCCAGCGCCCTCATCATCTCCGTAAAATCTGCAAAACAAGCAGGAGCAGGGGGGATTCCTCCTCACACCTCCTCCCCGGGGTCCCCCAGCACGCTGCTCACTCCCCATCCGCTCTGCCCTGCTCAAAGCACTGCTCCCAAACACCCTGAAGGGAATAACTTTAACAAGTAATGAAACTTCCCTAAAAACCAGCCCTGAGTCAAAAGGTGACTTTAACCCGAGGGTCACTGGGCAGAAGCAATGCTGAGACAGTTTCTCTGCACAGAACACAGCCTG